ATTGGGCGGGACATCGACAATACGATTTTTTCAATATCAAAAATATTACCGGGAGTATTCACCGGGAAGTAGTAAATTCATATTCCATCACGACCATCAATAACCTATTTATTCTATAATATTTTCTCTGAAACTTGTTTTGCATGTCGTCACTCAATGATGGTGACATAAAATGATACAATTTAATTTATCGTATGATATTTTCAACTTTTATAAACAATGTTGTAATAACACAATATTTAGTCTCATGAAATATGATAGTTCTGATACGGGATCTGATGCGGGATTTTTGGCTGATACGGGATCCAATACGGGATTTTTTTAATATCAAATTTATTCCCTGTTTATTTCCCAGGGAAACGTGTTATTATGGAATAAATTATGCTATACGAGATCATTATATTATAAAACTATTACAATAATTGATATAATTAACAGCTTCTATTAACAACGTGAAAAAGCACATGTTATCAAAACACATTTAGAAAATGGACATTAAAAACGTGCACAGGGATTTATATAAACCATAATGTCTGAGACAATGATCTAACACATTCAATCTCACACATGAATATATAAGAGGAACCAAGCCCAACTTCAAGAATACTGTAGATGTCAACGATTTATACTCAATTGAGATTGATGAGTTTATAAGCTCCTTGGTAATTTTCTTGTAGTTAAGATTTTCATCTGGTTTATTTGAAGTCACGACAAATGTCAGGGTGAATATATTTACATTATCTAGATTGCGTTGTAACGAAGCCAAAGTATTAAGGGTTGGTTGAATTGCGATATGTCATTTTATTTATGTCTGGCCTTTGGTTTTTAAGTACTTATAAAGTATATATTACACTTTCGGAGACAACGCCCTCAGGGACTCGTTTTTATATGTATTTTCATTTGTATATATCACTTCTGGAAACTCTGACAGAAATCCAATGGGAACTTACGTAAAGTTTGAATTTTAACAAATAAAATGATAGCCAATATTATGATATAAATAGCGAGTAGTAGTTTGTTTATTATAAGTTGGCACAGCTGTACTAAACAATTAATACACAGAATTGATTAAAAAATCACCTCTTCCATTCTTTCCTGTTTTTTTTATTTAAGATACTCACAGATATATGAAATTCGAAACATTAGTATTCCAGCATAATTAATTTACATTTAGAGTCGATTCTTTTGACCAATCAAATCGAGATTTTCTGTATCACGTTTTCACCTGCGATATATGGCATATTCCGCAGGTGAGTATGTCATATTCCGCTAATGAGTAGGACATATTTCGCAGGGAAGTATCGGATATTCACTAAAATCAATGTATCGCATATTCCCCTGCGGTATACGGCATATTCCACAGGGGAATGTTGCATATACACCCGTATCACAAATACTGCACAACCATGAATATATTCCATAATATCCCGGGTAACACAAGATCGACTAGTTTTGACGTCACGCCATTAAAAAGGAGCTTTAAATGAGGCGTCGGGATATTTTCTAAATATATCTTATAATTCCTTGTCTGATTTACAGATTTACATTCCAGGAATTATACCATAATTCGTTGGTCAACCCTGTAGAAAGCACCAACTTCCTTTTTTATTTGCGTTTGCTTGAGTATGGCATTCCAATAAACAACATGTAACTATTTCATTCGAGGTGATGACTGTGAGATTGACCTAGATGGGTGTGAGGGTGACCCCTGTGGTAACGACTCTATTTGTTTTGATATGACACCTGAGGAGCAACAAATCAACGGCACATTATTTAATTGTTCATCGTGCCCCGACGGTCACATTCGCGTCGACTCCAAGTGCATAGGTAAGTGGTTGTGTAGCTACGTCAAGATGATATATCTATGACAGCAATAAATATGTATGTAATAAGTATCACTATTATTTAAGTATCAATACTTGAGTCATTGAAGGGTTTCAAAGGAACTATTGAAGTAATTCTCTTTATTTAAGGTTATTTCGACAACAACGATTTGTTGAAGGACAGTTTTTCTCTTTTGATTTATAAACAGTTTTTATTGTGCTAAACACGTTTGTAAATTGTATTATATTACGTAGAAGTATCGAATGCTATTTGGCTAAATTTTCATTCTTTAAAAACCACCTGATGCACTGATGTGTTTTAGGGAACACATTCTATCACCCTAATGCATTTGCAGTATCCAAGTTTCAAGGATCCTGTCCTCGAATATGAATGTACAACTATTGCGTATTAACATGAGTACTATATTTCAGATATTGATGAGTGTGCCAACGATACACAGAACGATTGCCAACAGGAGTGTGTCAACGAGAAGGGGAGCTACAACTGCAAGTGTTCACCAGGTTACCGAGCCACAAATGACACACATTGTCAAGGTAAATGACATATCTTTCAATAGTAGCCATTACTAGCCAACTATATACTGTATGTCAACTTTCTCATTTTTATGACTGGCGTCATGCTTCAGCAGTGTAGTCCCAAATGCTAAAGAGAAATGCCAGTGTAATCAGAGACGACATTTATTGTTGTCGTTTATTATTGTCGAGGTCACATTAGATTGTGTTGAATGTAAAGAGCGCAGGTAAGTGAATAAGTCAGAATATATCAACATGCATTTGTTTTTAATGTGCAAGCTTAATGTGCAAGCTCTGTGGTCACCGATTAATGTTATATTGACATTAACTTAAACGATTGTCTACATACGTGTACTAGTACCTAATTTCTTTGAACAAATTGGCACACTTTACTTACTGGACGTATTGATTCAGATATTGATGAATGTGATGAGGGTACCAGTGGCTGTGAACAACTATGTAACAACACAGATGGTAACTTCACATGTAGCTGCGAAGAGGGGTTTACAGCAGAAGGGGAAACATGTGCAAGAGGTAGATACTGAATACCGACACAGATATCAATGTCGAAAACTCGTTTCAAAATGTTTCTGATCAGACCCAAACCCATAGCTGAAATATCCTTTAATAATATAGATGACAAATAAAATAATCTACATGTATATAACATCTGGAACACGTTTGGTGATCACTGACGAGTATTACACTTTTTAGCAATTTAAGCATAATAAAGCATTACTGTTTCCAGTCCATGCATCACTAGAACCATGTGCAAATATGAATCTGACTTGTGAGTATGGCTGCAGGAATACGTCGAATCCACCTGTGTGTTTCTGTAAGACTGGGTTTGATCTAACAGGATCTGAAAATTGTACAAGTATGTATAACATTTCAAGTTCGTGTTTTTCATCTTAAATTACGTAGGTGCCAGTAGGTAATTACCAGTTTCACAACCAGATGAGTAATCAGGGCGACTGAGCAGACAATTGTAGACATAGCAAAAGTTTACCTCATATTTAGTTATACTTATATAATAAAAAAAATATTGAATCAGTTTGTCTAGCTATTGCATTTTTAAGTTTTAAGCATTTTTAAGAATCATTTGTACGTTTAATATAATAAGATATTTCGATTTCCATGATCTTATATTATTTACACTCTATGACAATTCCACCCGACGTAAACATCATATTTTCAAACAAAATGTGAAGTTCAATTAAACAATTTTTAATTGGTTAATTATCACCCTATGCAGACAGAGCCTGTGGGAAATATTGGGTGCGGCGCAAATGAGCGGAGGGTGCGGAGCTAACGGTCATTTTTGAATTTAAAATTGGGATATTTCTGAAACTAAGCCGTTTTGGGACTTCAAATATACCAAGATATGTGAATTTGACACCAAATATCAATAAAATTGTGAAAATAGTAGTGCAATTCATTTTATAGCGACGCAGTATGCCTTAAACATTTCCCAGACCTATATATTTTGAGGCTATCCTTTTAATACTGCGTCCCCAGCATTCATAAAAAATGGTGTTCAAGATACACTACCCATGCAAATTATTTTTGCATCTTGGAAGCCAGGCAGTATCTGTGTGATTTTATAAAAATTCGGAAATGTTCTTTAGATATGAGCCCCTCTAAATATTGGGTGCGAAGCTACGTTTATGGAGCTGCTCCGCACCCAATATTTAGAGGGGGCTCATATTTGAAAAAATTTCCGAATTTTTATAAAATCACACAGATACTGCCTGGCTTCCAAGATGCAAAAATAATTTGTATAGATAGTGCATTTATGAATGCTGGGGACTCAGTATTAAAAGGATAATTTCAAAATATATAGGTCTGGGAAAGGTTTAAGGCACACTGCGTCGCTATAGAATGAATTGCGCTACTATTTTCACAATTGTATTGATATTTGGTGTCAAATACACATATCTTGGTATATTTGAAGCCCCAAAACGGCTTAGTTTCAGAAATATCCCAAATTTAAATTCAAAAATTACCGTTAGCTCCGCACCCTCCTCTCATTTGCTCCGCACCCAATATTTCCCACAGGCTCTGTCTGCATAGGGTGAATTATGTATATTTTGTCTTTTTAGCATCCAGTTTAGATTTTTAACTTTCAAGTTTTTTTAAGCAATAGCCCAAACTCAAAATATGGATGATTAATATATCTTCAGCAGTTTTTTGTAAGTACTTATAAACTGTTCTGTTGTAGATATAGACGAATGCACACTCGACACAGATGGCTGCGAAGGAGGCTGTAATGATACGGAGGGTGGTTTTCAATGTTACTGTGATCCAGGCTTTCAACTCGGAAATGATCAGAAATCGTGTGAAGGTATGGAAGTAAACTACACCAAATCGTCGTTTTGAAGAATACAATGTTTGATTTACAACTACTTAAAATGATATCCAACCATAATTTCTTTACCCGCCTGCATCAGTGGCCATGGTGCTCTACTCGATTACGCTGGATCGCTTCGGTAACGAAATGTCGGAACCTCGAGAGTACGATTTTTCTTTTTTCCTTAATCCACGCTTTGTAGGTAGGATTCCCACGACATTTTTATCACTAACATGTGTCAGTGTCATAATTTTAAGAAAATGTACATATTTGCGAACAATTCAAATAGTTCAGAAGACACAATCGTGGATTTAATACCTCACTTAAGTTACGTAAACGGAACGGGCTAAAAGAGCAGATCTAAACCGTTTTTCGAAGTTCCGTTTACCTGACTTAAAAGTGAGGTATCAAATCGACAATTCTGTGGTCTTCTGAACTATATGAATTGTTGGCAAATATGTACATTTTCCCAAAATTATGATACTGATACTTCGTTTCGGTAACCAGCGAAATCGAGTGGTGCATCAGTGCGCATACAACTATTCCTAAAATAATTGAGAATCTAGGGGATAGAGAGTGTAAAATGTTGGAAGCAATCTTGTCAGAAAACATGCCAGAGTCTACTTATAACCATTTTATTGAAAATTGAAAAATGGGACGACGTCTTAGTGACACTAGTGAGCTACTGTCATGTCAGAATGATCATATTATTTTTATTCTAGCGTGTGATTCCTCTCACTGGGGCATTAATTGTGCAAATCTTTGTGAGTGTGGTAGCCGAGCCAGACAATGCAATGCGAGCATAGGTTGTACTGACTGTGTACCAGGTTGGGGAGGAGAGAACTGCGAGGAAGACATAGATGAATGTGCTAACATTACAATATGTGGTTCCAATGCTCAATGTGTAAACAATAATGGGTCGTATGCGTGTATATGCAACGCAGGATATCAACAGGATAGTGATATAGTAAGATGTGTAGGTGAGTACAACAAAAACACATGCATGCACTCGCTGGTCAGTTATTTACAGTATACAAATTGAAGGTCCTTTAACCGTATATTTCCTAAAGGGCAAAGATGTAAAAAAGACGGATATATTCAGCTTTAGAGGCAACTAACAATACCAATACAAACCTCTCCCTTATATTGAATATATAATTGACTTTGATTTAGCTTATTATCTGTTGTACAAATGAATATACAATATTAATAATTGGAATAGAAGAATAAATCAAAGCAACCAATGACAAGACTGTTGTTTGTCGCAGATATTAATGAATGTGCAACGTTACAACCGTGTGACCCCGATGCCAACTGTACCAACACCGATGGGTCATACAACTGTACCTGTAAGAAAGGCTATACAGGCAACGGGACACAGTGTGAAGATATTGATGAGTGTCCAACATATCCGTGTGGAACAGATGAGATATGCACTGACACGCCAGGATCGTATTACTGCTCATGTAAAGAAGGATATTCAAAGGTACATGTATGTTGCCATGATTACAGCGATGATTCACTAGCAAAAATGATCCGATTAAAATATCACCATCTCAAATAGTCATAAAACAAAATAATACAAATTATTGTGAGGTAAAAATGTAATATCAATCATATGGTGTTTTTGTTGTAGTGTTATTTTGTAACATAGTCTATGTAGATACTTCTCTGTAATACAATATAGTAATGAAGTAATGTGTTTTCAGGTCAACTCCACATGTGTAGAAGTGATATTTGTTCCCATAACAACTACCATGGCGATGTCCACACTGAATGCATCTCTCGAAACTACAGTGACAACTGAAATTTTAACTCCCACTTTACCCAATAATGCAACTACCATTGAAATGTCCTCTGCAAATACATCTTTCGAAACGACAGTAACATCGGAAACTCCAACTCCCACTTCACCCAGTAATTCAAGTATGTATTTCTGCATTTATTCTATGTATACGACATATATATACCAATACTATGGTATTCATGTTTATTTCTATACAAAGGCCTTCATGTTTATGTCTATACTAAGTTCTTCGTGTTTATTTCTGTGCTAAGGCCTTCATGTTTATATATCTATATTTGGCCTTCGTCTTTAGTTCTATACTAAGGCTTTCATGTTTATATCTATAGTATTGCCTTCATGTTTATGCCTTGCTCTTTTAATGTTATTTATAGATAAAATGGTGACGATCAACATCGAGTTCAAAATGACTTTCTTCTATGAAATTTACGATAACCCATTAGATAATGCAACAATCGCCCTTAATACAAGCCTTACGTCAATGGTAAGCACAACATTCATCATAGGACATATACAATTTACAAGGGCTACATAAACACTATTTTGCATGAATGTAAGCCAACTGCAAAAAATTTATCACTATATAAAAACAAAAAGTAGTTCATTCACTTAAGTAATAATAACTAGACATGTAAATTGAACAAGTTCAATTTAAGACTCCAGATTTAAAACTTTTTTTAAGCTGAGTCATCCAAAATACTGTAAGCTGAAAAATTCAGAATAAGCTGAGTCATCTAGAATACAGACATTTAGACAACTCTTAAGTAGCTTATCTTCGTCTACATTGGCTTAACATGGGGATATCATAATATCAACTTTTCGAGACTTCAAACAGCTATGACTATCTAACCAGAATTTGGGTCGAAATTTGGTTTGCAGATTCAAATTTCTGAGAAAATTCTACGTTTGTGTCATAACTCATACATTAAATTTTGAGAACTTTTTATGTTGACCTACTTTCCGGACGCCATTCCTCAAAATCGGTAAGAGTAATCAAAAAAGACAGTTACAATAATGAAAGGACTGTCTTTAAGCTACATGATGAAAAAAGAGAAAGGAATAACGACGAATAGTGACAAAGATAATTGACATAACATGGGATATCAAAATACCAATTTTTTAATTTTTCAAAACGCCATTACTTCCAAACCGGGTGTCGGATTGAAATTTGATTTGCAGATTTGGATTCCTGAGAAAATTCTACCCTTAATTCATAACTCATACGTTAAATTTGGAGAAACTTTCATGTTGACCTACTTTTCGGACACTATATCTCAAAAGTGGGTCAAAATACTTTCTGACGGCAAAAGGCTAACACTATTAGCACACTCTTTGCTAC